TCAAATTGGCATAATTCTTGTAAATATTTAGCTATAATTTCACTAAACCGCAAGTATAATATTTAAAATCACTAAAAATTGACTATAATTAGGCATAAAACAATTTGTATCTAAATTTAATTTTTTTAAAAATAATTTTATTTTTTATTTTATTTTTTTTATAATTTGGTATATGCTGAATTATTGCCAAGTAATATTATGCTGAATGGTTGTATATCTGAATGTTTGACAAGTGGCGCATGCCAAATAATACTATTTTGACTAGTGTATTACTAATACTCTTGAAATGATTATATATTTTTTGAAGAATCTATCTAGAGAATAGAAATTTTATCACTAGTTTTAAACTATTTAATTTACCAGTTCAATTTTTATAAAGACAATAGAAAACTATTGACTATTTATTTAAGTTATTTATTATATCACACTTTTTTGCTTATATAATTAATATAGCAAAGAAGTTTTAATATGAGTATATACTTTTTAGTAAATGCCTCAGTTATTGTCTATTAATTAACTTTAATTATCAAATTTAGGATCTCTTGTGATCAAATGAAATATGACTCCTTAAAAAATATATAAACCATATTAAACAAGCTTCCAAACTCCTTAATCTCTTAGTAGATACTTTAGTTTAAAACCAGTTGGTTTAGACTATCAAATCTAAAGATATAAATATCAAGTAAGATATAACTCCTATATATACAATAAGCCATTGGAATAGCTATATCATATAAGATATTAATATCAGTTCAGTATTCTTTTCAAAGCTTTTATATTTAACAATCAATAGAAAAAAGAAATTGACTATTTGAAATTGATTAAGATAAAGTATAGTTCAATATATATATCCAAATATATGAGTAGTTCTTTTTTTTTTTTTTGTTTTTGTTTTTTTTTTTTTTGGGCTAAGTGTGATACACGCGAGACTTTTATTAAAATATATGAATAGTTTTATAAATTTCTTTCATTAAATAATTATTGTAACACTATTTAAATAATTATCATATCACTATATCTTAATGAAAAGATTATAATCTCAATGCCTATTAAATTAATATATGAAATAATTTCTTATAAAAAACAATACTAAATTAATTATAGTGCCAGATACTATATTAATTCTATTCAATTACCTTTATATAGAATTGAATTGATATCTTGTGATCTAACCTATGAGGCATTAATTATTGTGCTATAGACCTACAAATCTAATTTTTAAATTATTCTTTATTTGCAAATTTACTAATTTTCCTATAAATTTTATATTCAAATATTTGAATTCAAATCAAATTTAATTAAATTATATAAAAATATAATCTCTGGTTTTTTTAACAATTACAGATTGAAAATAAATTAAAACAAAAAAGATTATATAAGAAAAACTTCTGATTTAACTTTGATAAAAAGCTTATATCTTTTTGATATAACAAACTCCATAGTATAATATATTAATTCAAAGTAATAAATCCTAAAAGAAGATTATTAATATGGATTTTAATATATAAATATAAATGATTTGTTCAATATTATCAGTATATAGAAGTTGTATCTTGCTTAACATTTATGTCTCTAAATTTAACAGTTTAAATTAATTATATATATATGCCAAACTTTTTTTATAGTTATAAGAATTGAAAATATAATATGAAAAATAATTTATTAAATATTAATATATGTTTTTAAAGTTGCTGTTCAAAAAAAATTGAATTAATATATTAGATGGTTTAAAACTATGGCAGGATTTTTATCTTCTGAATTAGTTTTATCTAATATATAGGTTTACTTAAGAAGTATAAGTTCATATATAACTAGATTAGATCATGATAGGCTAGGATTAATTTACAAATTATATAAAAAAATCATTAATATAATGGCTATAAACTCTGTTTAATAAAGTCTCACATTTAATACCTGTTTGCAACAAAAAATATATATATATAATTAATTTTTATTTTTATTTCCATTTTTTATATAATAATAATACTAGCAGAACCTTGACATATTAGTTTGATACACATCTAAGGGATAAATCAATAGCAACAAACCAATATGAAAAAAATTTGATATAATTTAGCATGCATCTAAAATAACTTATAGATAGTAATTCTTGTACAAGAAATACAAATGTAAACTAAATAAAGTATGTTAGGCAAGGCAAAAAAAAATTAAATTCAATTAAATTAAATTCTTTTTTTGCACTGAGCATTAAACATAAAACTTTATTAAAATTATGGTGTTTACAGCCATTAATGTTAACAATCTTTACAAAACGCAAATTAACAATTAAATTAATTTTTATAATTATTAAATTATTTTAATACTATGAGAATTTTTCAGGCAAATTTGTCTAGAAATAATATCTAGATTAATTTTTATAATTATTATTAGTTGATAATTTGACTATGTACGTAAGTCAAACCAACTTGTTAGCAATAAAAATATATTCATCTATTTGCTATTTAGTGTTATGGTCTCTTACAAAACTTGGGACACAGTTAAATGAATCGCAATAACGTCAACTCTTTGAATCATTGTCAATATTTTCTGACGCTTTTTCCAGAGCTTTCTTCCTGCTTAATTCATTCAGTTTTTGAGTTATCGCCCTTATTTTTTGGTGTTGATTTACGCGTTTAAAATGACAATATTCCCTATCAGGAAATTGTCAAATATTTATGAGTAAATGAAACGATAAGAGAAGAGAGGATGATAAATTCTTATTAATTACCATGTTCCTACTGAGATTAAACAGAATGATCCAACAGCCCAATTCGTAGCCGAGAAAACATTACCTACATCATAATCATAAAAATTTTCGTTTATTTTTGTTCGACTCTCTCGCCTCCAGTACCATCGATGATTTTACGAAACTTGCCTTTTTGTATGAACCTCAGAAAACCAACCGTCGTCCCACCACCAATCCCATACAAGAAACTTTGACGGGCGCATGGCATTTTAGCAATATTTTTGAAATCATCGTAATTTAA